CTAAAGGTTTTGTCTGCAAGGCAGTGGAAACCATTCGAAGGTTGTAGACAGAGGATGACCTGATGAAAGTTGTGTTTTTAAAAGGTTACTCTGGTTATATTGTAGAAAAGGGAAAAGAGTCAAGCAACAATGCACTAGGGAGATAATTAGTTGACTGTTGCAGTCATCCAAGAAAAATGAGGATAACAATTTAAGACTACAGTTGAGACAAGGAGAATAGTCAGAAATGAAGTAGGAATTCAATAGCTATTTAAAGAGTAGGAGCCCTGGCCTTGTGACTGGATACGGCCATGGAGGTGAGACAAAAAAACATAAAAAACCTGTTGCCATTGCCTTCAAGTCACTTCTGACTCATAGTGATCCTACAGGACAGAGTAGAACTGCTCCATAGAGTTTCCAAGGGGCGGCTGGTGGATTCGAATTGCTGACCTTTTAGTTAACAGCTGGAGCCAAAGGTAACGTGAGGCTCCAGCAAATGGGTGGAAGAGGAGACTGACTGTGGAAATGTGGAAGCCTGGGGGCAGAGATTGAAGTGGGAAGGTAGAAAACGAGAAATCAAGACTTTGGTTTGGAGCAGATGAGTTTTATGTGACAGTGAGACAGCCAGATGGACATTTTCTAGGTGGCTTCATGATACATTCTTGAGCTTGAGGATACAAATTTTAGCTCAGTAAAATGATGGCCATTATAAGTCTTGGACCTCTGAGGTCTTGTTGAATCATTAAAACTATGCATATTAAATCTGTGCATGATAAGGGCCTATTGTAGAATAGGAGCCCTGGTGGTGCAGTGGTTAAGAACTCAGCTGCTAAGCAAAATGTTGGCAGTCCAAATCCACCAGCCGCTCCTTGGAAACCCTATGGGGCAGTTCTACTCTGTCCTATAGAGTTGCTATGAGTCAGAATTGACTCGCTGGCAATGGGTTTTGTTGTTTGTTTGTTTGTTTGTTTGTTTGTTTTGGTTCATTGTAGAATAAAGTAGAGGACCAATAGAAATGAGCTTTTTACTAAATATATTCATTTAATGCATCCATTTATCTGGTTTGTGGTTATAAATAGGAATGCCTACATAATATTTTGAAATATAAATAATTCCTGACATTACTAATGGGCTCAAACATACCAATGATCATGAAGATGGTGCAGGGCTGCAATGTTTTGTTCTATTATACATAGGTGACCATGAGTCAGAGCCAAGCACAATATGGCCGATTAAAAATTCGATAAATAGAAAATGCTAATGCTTAGATTGAATTTTTTCTCAGTATAGAGAAGGATGCAAGGAAATCTAAATTAATCACCATACTTGAGTCCAGCTAGAGTCAGGTAGTGATTTTAGATCATTCAGCAGAAGTTTACCAAACAGATTTAAAGTTTCCAGTGAACGAAGATTATCCATGAGGTGTGATTACTAACATTAAAAAGAGTGATTTTTAACAAGTATACTAGAATAACTAAATGACCACTGTTTCTTGAGGTAGCGTCCTTGGGAAGCCATGTTTTTTTTTTTGTTTGTCTTGTTTTGTTTTCAGGGATGTTGGCATAGTGCAAAACACTCTAATGTCTCCCCTTCTGGAGTCATTTTCAGAGTCATTCATGAGCCACATAAGATTTGGAAGAAGCAGCTCACGTGAGACTATATTTATTCTGGATTGTTCTAATGAGAAAATTAAAACATATGGACTGCCTTCTCAAGAGATCCATTTCAATACGATAGAAAGAAGAGTGATCTAATGAGTTGAGGCACCCAACCATGGAATGAACTATTGGAAGCACACTATTTTCATTGGAGGTGTTCAGATTAACACTGGATGGCCACTTACAAAATTGATACTAGAGGATTAATGTATTTGAAATCTGAGAATCTGTGGTTCTACGAATATTTGAGCAATTATTTTATAGTCACACTAACTGTGTATGATAATTTGCATGCATCAATCCCTTACTTTCTAGGTCTGTGTTCTAATGTCACCTTATTAGAGGTGTCTTCCCCACATAAAATATTACCCCTATAATCTCCCCTTTTGCTCTATTCTTTTCCGTAGAGCTTCTCACTAGATGGTATGTTCTATATTCACTTTGTAATGTATATATATTGTCTGTCTCCCACAACTAGATTGTAAGCTTCACAAAGGATGGAAATTGGTTGGTTTTGTTTACAGCTCTAACCTCAGTGCCTAAATCAGAATCTGACACATAGAGGATGCTCAATAAACTATTAAATAAAAATTGTTTCAAGTAGAAATAATGTAAAAATGTTACAGAAATTTTACAAACACAAAAGAGAGTAAAACACAATTCTACTGTTTTCTTGTACATCATTATATATCCAGAAATTTGCACAGTGGTCGGTATATCATACATACCCAATAAATAACTGCTGAAGGAAAGAATTTGTGCTATCGTTTACACGTATTTTCTTCTTTATTTTCATATATATGTATATACATATATAGTTCATCTTTGTACTCAAAATGTCATTACACAGCTGAGTAACCCATCTCATTCATCAGATGTAGCTATAGTAAGTTGATGCCATTTCCAAAAATTAATCCCATTTTCAAATAAAAAAGATGTGTCACCACTGAGACTACAAAAGATTTATGTTACAAGCTCTAGAAAACCAATGAACTTGTCGCATATATTATCGTCTCTCTCATTAGCATTACTGAAAAGAGTCATAGTTATTTGTGGAAACAGAATACCATAATGAGTTAAGATCACAATGGTGTAAACAATCTTGACAAAGAGCAAAGTTGGAGAACTTATACTTCCTGATTTCAACGCTTACTACAAAGCTACAGTAATTAACTCTGTGGTATTGGCATAAGGATAGACACACAGATCAACAGAACAGAACTGACAATACAGAATAAGCCCATATATTATGGTCAATTAATTTTCAACAAAGGTGCTGAGGCAATTCAATAGGGGATAGGATCATCTTTTTCAATAAATGGCTATGAGACAATTAGATACTGCATGCAAAATGATGAATTTAGACTCTTACCTTACACATACACAAAAATTAAGTCAAAATGGATAATAGACTTAAATGTAAAAGCTAAAACTATAAAACTCTTAGAAGAAAGCATAGGAGTAAATCTCTGACTTTGGATTAGGAAAAGATTTCTTAGATAGGACACCAAAAGCACAAGCAATAGAAGAAAAAACTAAAAAATTGAACTTAATCAAAATTAGAAACTTTTGCTCTTCCAAAGACACCAAAAGACAAGCAGACCGAATGGGAGAAAATACTTGCAAATTACGTATCTGATAAAGAACTGTGTTTACAACATATAAGGCACTTGTATGAAATCAATAAGAAGACTATCAACCCAATTTAAAAGTGGACATAAAATTTGAATAAATATTTTACCAAAGAAGATACACAGATGGTCAATAAGCACATGAAATGATGCTCAACATCACTGGTCATTAGGAAAATTAAAACTAAAATGCAATACCACTTCACACCTATTTTTTAAAAAAAAGACAAATAAGAACAAGCGAGGATATGGAGAAACTGGAACACTCATCCATTTGTGGTGTGAGTGTAAAACAATGTAGTCATTTTTGGAAAACTGGCAGTTTCTTACAAAGTTAAACATAAACTCATCATACAACTCAGCAATTCCGCTCCTAGGTATCTACCAAGGGAGATGAAATAATATGACCACACAAAGACTTGCATGCAAGTGCTCATGGCAGCACTATTCATAATAGCCAAACCTGGCAACACTCTAAACAAAATGTTGTTCACTATGCATGTGTTGATGTATGTACACTTATATATTATGCATATATTTCTTTGCATACACATTCTAATAGATGTTTATATATCTGTATGCTCCCAGGAAATTATATTTATGACATCCAGTAAACTATATGTGAATATGTATATCTATATAATATGTACAAAACATATAAATATATATAAAAATTACCATCTCTTCAATTTTCAGCCAAGATACAAGCCTGGGTTCAAATTCTAGCTCTATCACTCTCTAGCTCTGTGACCCTGAGCTAGCTACCTAACCTCTCCGAGTCTGTACTAGTAAAATATGAGTAATAATACACACTTTACAGGATTATAGATTAAATGAGATAAAACACGAAACATGCGTAGCACTAGGCTGGCACAGTGTCAGTCCTCAATAAATCAACCTCAGTGTGATTATTTGTCTGTTTTCGAGCTTTATTCACAAATCTAGTTTTTTTCCTAATACCCATGTTGGGGAGAAGGAAACCATTTTGTGCAGTGCAAAAAGCTGGTTCTGCACTTCTAGCTGTCTGACCTTGAAGTTTTCACTTCGTTTCTCAAGCCTCAGTTGCCAAAAATCTATAAAAGGAGGATAATAATTACTCATCTCACAGGACTATTGTTATGATTAGGAAAATTATATTAAAGTGCTTTGTAAGCTGCAAAGTACAATAAAAATATAAAGTACTAGGCTCTTAAGGGCCTTCTGTCCCCACAGAGCCAGCCATACTATGTTTATGGAAGAACCAGAATGGCTACCCACAGTGTGATGTGGAGCCATTTCTCAACTCCTGAGATTGTAATGAAAGAATCTTTTCTTGGCTGTGGTGGTGGTGGTGGTGGCAAGTCATTTTCAAAATAAATGTTCTCCTCCTGTTTGAATACAAAGTCAGGGGAGCTGTGTTACTCTGTATCTGCACCACTGCCGGCCTGTCCTCATGAGCTATCAGGCTCAGCTAAATATGGCCCTGGCCAGTATGTCAATAATCCCCACTGGTTCTGAGACCTACAACCACCACTGATGTGACATTCTTTGTGTTCAAATGTCTAGCTGACGTCTGATGCTTAAAACAGCCTATGCCTTCACCCCTCTCTGCATTGTCACAGCCCTGTATCACCACTCTTAAAAGGCTATCTCAGCCACTCCTAGCACCAGTTGCTGGCCAGCCTGCCCACTCGCCTCCCTGCCTGCTTCTGGCTGCCTTGAATGCCTGGTTCTTCAAGCTCTTTGTGGGTCTGACAAAGCAGGGACCATGTCTACCTTTGGCTACCGAAGAGGACTTAGCAAATATGAGTCCATTGATGAGGATGAACTCCTCGCCTCTCTGACACCTGAGGAGCTGAAAGAGCTAGAGAGGGAGCTGGAAGACATTGAGCCTGATCACAGCCTTCCTGTGGGGCTAAGGCAAAAAAGTCTGACCGAGAAAACTCCCACGGGGACGTTCAGCAGAGAGGCGCTGATGGCCTATTGGGAAAAGGAGTCCCGGAAACTCTTGGAGAAGGAGAGGCTGGGGGAGTGTGGAAAGGTAGGCTCTCGAGATTTTTCCTTGGCTACTCCCATTGCCCATCCCCAAACCCGGCACCTCTGTTTTCTCTAACTCTTCAGTCCTCATCACTTTTCCTTTCTAGAACACATTTGCACCTGTTACTGAAAAGTTTCTCAGGCTGAAAAACTCATGTAACTTCTGTGTTCACGCAGTGGGTCACATTATGTAAAACTCTTAGCTGGGGTTCTTTGATTAAAAAGGGGACATTTAAGGGGAAAATAATTCACAACCAAGTTACAGGTTTAGATATTTTGCCAGACATATGTCTAATTTGAGCTATATATTGGTGATGTGACATAATGTCTGTTTCTGATATGGATTCTTTTTCTTTTCTTTTTTCCTCTAAAGAAAAAAAAGGGAAGTGTGGTCGCTTTGATTGTGATGGTGACTGCAGTAAAAATAACTCTTCTTTTTCTCTAATACCAAGAAGTCTGGGGTGGTGGGAAGACCATGGGACTGAGGGTCAGGGGGCCTTATTTTTAGTCACCACTCTGCCATTAAGTTGTTCAGCCTTGAATAGAAGAGTCATATCTACAGGATTCTGTTTCCCACGTGTCTTTATTCAGAAATCTAGATTTTTACTAATCCCTATGTTGGGGAGAAGGACACATTTTGTACATCTGTTCGTTGTGCAAGTTAAATCCAGTGTTTCATTTGTAAATCAAGAACTACTTTATTATTTCGATAAAAGTTATGGATCTGCTCCTCAAGAAAGTGTGCATGTGGATATATACACACACTTTTACATAGAATTTCAAGATGAAGACCCATGTCCTGAAACTTATCTGAGGACCCAGGTTAAGTCACTGCATAGATAGTCCCTAAGATTCCTTCCTACTTTACAATGGTGATTCTGAGGTCAGGAAATGTGCTTGTATTACAGCTCAGGTCTATTAAGCTCTCATTCACTGCCCAGTAAATGTTACTTTGAATTTGGCAAATGAGTTACAGTCTAAAGACTATGCTCTGGGAAAATAGTAATGGCAACAACAACATTAACGTGACAAAGAAATTCCTGAATTTATAGAAGACCATAAGTCAAGAGCAACTGTTTAAACCTCTGCACTCCATTGGAATCACCTAAAATCAAAGCAGCCTGAAGCCAATGGCAAGCCTTCCACGGTACTAATCTAGGAACTGTTAGATGATCTTGATGATAGGGTGTGTGGACCACATTTGCAGCAAGATATATGTGGGCTTTGTCCATGTCAATCATTGCAGGAACGGCCACTGGGATCAGGCCAGGGTCTGCCAAGGCCACAGTGGCCACTTGTATTGAGGGGCTGGAAGGGGAGCAGGGCTGGATTACCCAGTAAGCAAAGTATGCATGGGTCCAATTGTGTCTTCCCACAAATCTGCAGTGCACAATTTCACCTGTCCCCCACCAAGTCAAAGATGTGGTGAAACTCATGTGAAATTGTTCACCACGGATTAGCAAGTAAACACAATTAAGCCCACGTGTACTTTGCTCAAGGCAACCCGGTGGATACCGCGCTTACTGGTTAATCCACCCCTGGGGAAGTGAGAAGAAAGGACACATGTGACAGGGCCAGGATTTGGGCCAATCAATTCCTCCAAAACCTTATTTTTCAGGAGTCTTTTTTTTCCTTGATGTGGGAATTAGTGTCAAAAGTTTGATAACATATATAAAATACAATGACATTTTTAAAACAGTGATTAAAGAATGTCCTCAATAAAAAGAATAAAATGGTCTCCGAATACCCAGGATAGACAGCCACTGTAGCAATCACCCAGCAAAGGCATTTTAATGTCATTGTGTCATGCCGTGGTAGGAAACGGAGGGCAAAGGCTATTGTCAGATGTTGATGGAACCTACCTGACCCCTGCCAAAGCTTTCACTGAACCCCGCCAATGGTTTATCAGCTCAATTAGAGAGGCGGCTACTTTGATGAACTTTGATTCCTTTCTCAGCTAGTTAACTTTTCTCCTGCTACATTCTCCCCACTGGCCAACAGTCTATAGTCACAAAGAGTGCTGCGCAGAAGGTTGCTGGTGGAGGGTGTAAATCCATTCCTACCACTGGGGAAGAACCAAAGCAGCTGGTGGGGATGGGAGACATAGTAGCACCACTGAATGTGAAGCACAGCACAGAGTGGACCATGAGAAGGAGATGGAGATCTTTGCTATCAGGCTACCAGCTCTGTGATTATGGTTGTCAGTTGCCATCGCATCAATTCTGACTCATGGTGACCCCATGTGTTTGAGCAGAACTGCTCCACGGGGATTTCAAGGCTGTGAACTTTCAGAAGCAGATCACCAGGCCTGTCTTCTGAGGTGCCTCTGGGTAGGTTCGAACTGCCAACCTTTTAGCTAGTAGTCAAGTGCTTATCCATTTGTGCCACCATACTGGCTCTGTGAAGACTTATGAAAATCGTGCTCAATGCCTGTTGAGTGGCAACGTTCTGCCCACCTGGGTTCACATAAACATGTGCTGTGTTAACGCTTCAAGGGGCAGTAGGGTCTAGCTTCCCTAGCTTGAGCACCTGCTGGATACCAGGTACAGGTACCAGATGAGTTCACTTGTTTAATTCTTACCTTGCTGTAGATCAGACACTGAGACTGGGAGAGGGTTAGAAACACATTCAAGGTTAACAGCTTGTAAGTGGAGCTGAAATTCAAACCAAGGTCTGCTGGCACAAATACCCTGTTCCCAAAATGTAGGCAACTGACCTGGAGTATCAGCATCACCTGGAAATATTTTATAGCTGTAAATTCTAAGTTTCCACCCCAGAACTACTGAATGAGGAATTCTGTGGGTTAACAAGCCCTCCAGGTGATTATGATTCAGGCTGAAGTTAGTCCCTGGATGGTGTAAATGGTTAACGAGCTCAGCTGCTCACCTAAAGATTGGAGGTTGGCATCTACCCAGAGGCACCTCAGAAGAAAGGCCTGGTGATCTACTTCTGAAAATCAGCCACTGAAAACACTATGGAGCACAGTTCTACTGTGACATGAGGTCACCATGAATTGGAGTCGACTCTATGGTAAGTGGCTAAAAAAAGAGTTTGAGAACCACTGAACTATACCATAGCTGCTTTGAGACCCAGAGAGGTTTAGTGATTTGTCTAAATTCAACCGGCTCTTTATGGGAAGAACCAGAACAGAAAACCAAGCCTTTGCCTCTTTGTTCTCATTAGGAGAAATGGTTGGTCACCACCTCCTTACTGCCTTATTCATTCCGGAAGTGTATCAATATTCATTTTCTCCCTGTCCAGGCTTTCCCCACCTCCTTGCCCCATTGCCACCTTCCCACCCCCATTCTCACAAGGATCAGAGTTAACTCCAGAGAGTGCCACGTAGGTGAGCTGTCATGGCATGGTTAGTCCTGGTGCCAGGAGAGTGTGCAAAGTAGACAATGTTTGTGTTTTACGTCCTCCTACCTTCCCTATCAGGGCATTTTTCTCCCTTACAGTGTCCTTTATCCAGACAGATGTCCCCCACCTAGGGTGATCAACCATCTCAGACAGTCCAGGACTGTCTAGGTTTTAGAACTAAAAATCCCATGTCCTGGGAAACCCCTCAGTCCCAGGGAAACTGGGATGGTTGATCACCTTTTTTCCATCCAGGCCTATCAGTCCTCTTTCCTGGGCCTTCTGCTGACTCTCAGCCACTGTTAAGCAATGTCAATTTAGAGCCATTCAATAAACAAACATTGATTAAGCCCCTAATATGTGTTAAGCTCTGTGCTAGGTAAGCAAAACAGAAGTGGTCCCTGGCCTCACGCAGGTAACAGTCTAATGGGAAAAATGACAAGTAATAAAGCATAATAGTTTCTTAATTAGGGGATGTGCAACCTTATGGGAGCGCATGGCAGGGATAGTTGGAGGGGGTATCAAAGAAGGCCTTCAGTAAGAAGCGTCATTTA